ACCACGCCCAGCTAATTTTTTGATTTATTGTAGAATGAGGTCTCGCCAAGTTGCCCAGGCAGGTCTCGAACCTGCGGGCTCAGGCAGTCCACTCACCTTAGCCTCCCAAGGGCATGGGATTACAGGCTGAGCCACCAAGCCTGGCCCCCAATTTTTTTTTTTTTTTTTTGAGTTGGAGTCTCACTCTGTCGCCCAGACTGGAGTGCAGTGGCCGCTCCCGGCCACCGCAGCCTCGACCTGCTAGGCTCCGGCGATCCTTCCGCCTCAGCCTTCCAGGTAACCGGAATTACAGGTGCGCGCTACCACGCCCAGCTGATTTTTTAATTTATTGTAGAGATGAGGTCTCGCTGCCCAGGCGGGTCTCGAACCCGCGGGCTCAGGCCGTCCACTCACCTCAGCCTCCCAAAGGCGCGGGATTACAGGCTGAGCCACCGAGCCCGGCTCAAATTTTTTTTTTTAATAAAAAAAATAAACTGGACATGGTGGCTCACACCTGTAATCCCAGCACTTGGAGAGGCAAAGTGGGAGGATTGCTTGAGCCCAGGAGTTTGAGGCCAGTCTGAGCAATATAACAAGATCTTGTCTCTACAGGAAAAAAAAATTAGCTGGATGTGGTGGCACATGCCTGTGGTTTCAACTACTTAGAGGCTGAGGTGGGAGGATTGCTTGAGCCCAGGAGGTGAAGGCTGCAATGAGCCATGATTATGGCACTGTACCCAGCCCAGGCAACAGAGTGAGACTCTGGCTCAAAGAGTAATAATAATAAATTAAAATAAAATGGCCCCAAACACTGATGGTGTTCTCAAGCACAAGGAAGCTGTGAGGTATTTTGTGAGAAGAGACATTTCTTCAAGAAATCTCACTTTGGCATGTTGGTGTGAGCTCAGTGTAAATGAATCAACGATATGTGTTAAATCAGGTGCTTTCAACAGAAACACACATAGACCAAGGTTACGTATTGATCAGGTGGTAAAAATATTATGACCTGAGGAGCCTGGCTGTGTGTTTTCCCCAGGAGCTTAGTACATGTTCACGGCTACGATACAGAGCACTTAACTCTAGAGAAGGACCAGAATCAACTATTTCCTGCTCTCTGCAGAGACCACTTTGTGTCTGGGGCTGTCCTGTTTGTCGTGTTAGTCTGAGCTGGCTCTACCTGCTCCTTTCAGTGCACGACCTGCGGCAGCAGATGACAGCCCTGCAGAGCCAGCTGCAGCAAGTGCAGCTTGAACGCACGACGCTGACCAGCAAGCTGAAGGCGTCACAGGCGGAAATCTCTTCTCTGCAGAATGTTCGGCAGTGGTACCAGCAGCAGCTTGCCCTGGCACAGGAGGCCCGCGTACGGCTGCAGGGCGAGATGGCCCACATCCAGGTGTGTGGACTGGAGACTCCTTCCAGGGGAACATGGGGCATGTGACCTGGGAGATCACGTGTCGTGTCTTCATGTGGGACAGTGTTTTTTCCCCAAATTAAAAAGATATTTCTGTTTTAAGATTTCACAGATTTTTTTTTTTTGTTTAATCTGCTAGCCACTGGTCCAGTCCACACTGTGTCCTGTGCAGGAGCCTCCCTCCATGACTTTCTGACACAGGGTTTTATAGCTTCTGCTTGAGCACTTTGAATTCTAAGTTCTCCATCCCTGACTGAGACCCAGTTCCCACCACTACATAATATGTCCATATAATGAACATGCAGTGTACCCCCGAATCTAAACTAAAATCTCATCAAATTGAATAGAATCAAATGAAATTGAATCAAATCTCCCTCCCTGGGACATCCTGTGTTCCTGGCTCTGACTAGTAAGTCTCATCCCTCCTCGAAGGGTAACTCCTTTATGGTTTGAATCCAGTTCTCAGATTCCCCCCCTGGTTCTTGGGACTCTTCCACCCTGGCCTCACAGCTAGGAACCCCAGCCTCCTGTGGTGTCTCCCAGCATGAGTGCCACAGGGTTCTCTCCTGGGTGGAGCTGCTGAATCTCAGTAATGTACAATGACCATATCTTTCCAGCGTGGGTACTCTTGTTTCCAGCATCCTGGAGGAACCATGTCTCTCTCTCTCTCCTGTCCACTTGTGAGTGGGGACAGCCCATGGCCGCCTTGGTCCTGTGGTGTGGGAGCAGGTGTGGGCCCAGGCCTGCAGGAAAGTATCCATTGGTCAAAATTGACCTGGAGTATGTGTCACCTCTAGGCCTGCCCCTTGGCCCACTGCAGCCTCCTGGTCAGCATGCTAGAGACACCCAGGTGGGGCAGGCAGGTGCTGGGGCGCATATTGCTTGAGTCTCAGGGCCAGTACTAGCCAAGCTGACCCAAGTCACTAAAGGGCACCTTCTGTTGGCCTCCGTTTTTTGTTTTTGTTTTTTTTCCAGCTGTGAGATTTTTTTTCCCCCAGATAATAGTCAGAAATGTAGTTTGGACCAAAAAAAAACAACAAAGGAAGATTCAGAACCAGTGGCAGTTTGAGAGCCTTACCTGATTTTTAAAAAAATTTTTTAAAATACACGTTCACATTTTTAATTAGAATTTTTAATGCATTTTTTTTTATACCCAGATATCTCTCTCTGTTCCCAGTAACATTCAGAAGGGAGAGGCATGCAGGGCAGTCTGTCTTCCTTCATCATCTTGAAATAATTCCAGCAAATGCTGTCTTCCCTTGCTCTGTACAACTTATATGTAGATCCCGAACCTATGACTTCTGTTGTGTGTTGGCATCGTGAAGTCTAGGGACTGTCGTGGAGCTGGCAGTGACGTGGGAGCAATTCTAGCCATAGACTCCAGGCTGCCCTCATGCTTGTATTTCAGTTCTTACTTCCCTTGGCTGACCCCTTCTTCCTCGGGGGCCATGGCACTGGACTCCCTCTTCTTGAGACAGTTGGTTGAGGTCCTGACCATCTGTGGGGCCTGGATCAAGCCCTGGCTGGGTTGTAAATGCTGCTTCCCAGGAGCTACGTGTGTTGGTATCAGGTGAGGGTGGGACCTGGCCTGTGTCTGGCTGGATTTGGTCAGTCAGATAAGGCTCCTCATCCACAGGGAAAGAGATGGCCCCTCCTTGGGGACTTTAGTGTGGCTCCTGCTGCAGACTGCATGGTATCAGGTGATGACCGCTCGTTTCTGGGCCACATGCCTTCCTACTGAGGCATGCAGAGCCTAGACAGCCCATATTTTGAGGTAGGAAGATGAGCAGGAGTGGAGCCTGCGTGAGGGATGCTGGGGGCAGCCAGTGACCCTCATCATGTGACCTCCAGAACAGGCTGGTCTGCATTTCTTGCTTGAAGTGGAACAACTTTTTACCTTTTGGATTTTTTTTTCCAGGTTGGGCAGATGACCCAAGCAGGCATTTTGGAGCACTTAAAACTAGAGAATGTATCCCTGTCCCACCAGCTGACAGAAACACAGCACAGGTCCATCAAGGAGAAGGAGCGCATCGCCGTCCAGCTCCAGAGCATTGAGGTGAGGCCAGTGCTAGACCAGAGATTAAGAAAACAACAAGGGCAACCCCCTCAGGTCCCCTCCCACTGTGGGAGCTTTTCTATCCTCTCAATAAATTCTCAACAAAAAGGAAAAAAAGAAAAGAAAACAACAGGGCCAGGCACGCTGGCTCATGCCTATAATCCCAGCACTTGGGAAGCCACGGCAAGAGGATTGCATGAGCTCACAGGGTCGAGACTAGCCCGGGCAACTTGGTGAGACTGCATCTCTACAATAAATCAAAAAATTAGCTGGGCATGGTAGCATGTGCCTGTAGTTCCAGCTACTTGGAAGGCTGAGGCGGAAGGATCGCCTTAGCCCAGCAGGTCGAGGTTGCGGTGGCTGTTGAGCATGCCACTGCACTCCAGCCTGGGCAACAGGGTGAGACTCCCAACTCAAAAAAAAAAAAAGAAAGAAACAGATGCATACACATAGCTTTAATATGCTTTTTTATATATGCACATACCTATGTATCTTTCAAAATATTCTTTTGCTTGGGTGCAGTGGCTCATGTGTGCAATCCTAGCACTTTAGGAGGCCGAGGCAGGAGAGAGGATTGCTTGAGCCCAGGAGTTTGAGTCCAGCCTGGGCAACATAGTGAGACCTCATCTCTACCAAAAATAAGAACATTAGCTAGGTGTGGTGGTGTATAGTCCCTGCTGCTTGGGAGGCTGAGGTGAAAGGATTGTTTCATCCCAGGAGTTCAAGGCTATAGTGAGCCATGATCATGTCACTACACTCCAACCTGGGCATTGGAGTGAGACCCTGACTCAAAAAAAAAAAATTCTTTTGGCCAGCCTGCAAGTGATCACTACATAAGATTTTGGGACCTAGTCCCTCATCTCTTTCCTGTGAGTGGCCACACTTTGACGTGCTTGTGGTGACTCTTCTCTGGGAAGAGTTGTAGAGCTCTTCTTCTCTAGTCTCTGCCCTGCCCTGGGCCCCTGCACGCCAGTCACTGCCTGTTGGGAATTGGGGATGGTGCTGGGCACAGAATGGGTAGGGAAGAGGGGCCAGTATGTCTGTGTGTCTGACAGCCTTTCAGAGCCCGGTGATAATAAGTGTTTTCTTAGTTTCTTATTTTTATGTTTTTTTTATTTTTTGAGTTGGAGTCTCACTCTGTTGCCCAGGCTGGAGTACGATGGCACACTCACAGCCACTGCAGCTCAGCCCTCCAGGCTCAGGCACTCTTTCTGCCTCAGCCTTCCAAGGGGCTGGAAATACAGGCGCACGCTACCATGCCTGGCTAATGTTTTGATTTATTGTAGAGATGAGGTCTTGCCAAGTTGCCCAGGCTGTCTTGAACCCCTGGGATCAGGCAGTCCTCTCACTTCTGCCTCCCCAAGTGCTGGGATTACAAACATGAGCCACCATGCACCCGGCCTGTTTCCATAGTTTCTAAGCATTCAGCCATTTAATCCAGCAACCGTGTGATGATGTTACACTCATTGTTAGCTGCCTGTGCATATATCCTTCAGAGCACGGGACATGCAGTAGCTTTGCCTAAACCCAGATAACTATTTTCTTTATAGCTGTAAGACCCTGAATGATCTCTTAGCCTCTCTGAGCCTCGTCTCATTTATAAAATGGATATAATAACACCTGCTTAGTAGCCTTGTTGGGAAAATAAAGAAAAATAGTATAAAACGCATAAGCAGTATATAAAAGGGTCACTGCGTGCTGAGAAAGTTGCTTGGCTGATCTTGTTGCTGGCCATCCACGGTCATGTAGAAAGTCCTGAGGTATGCCTGGTTTCTCATTTCCTCATGACTACATGGGCCTCTTTTTCCATGTGAGTTATGTGTGCTTGCTGGGATGACGGATGAGAATGATGTCTTGCCAGCCATAAAACTTAAAGGGCTCAGTGGAGAAGAACTGCAAAGACTTCCAAGTTGTAAACTAATATCTTTTTCCTAAGAAGGCTGCCTGAGTGTTAGTTTCATCCATATAGCCAAAATATAGGAATGCCCCATGGACCTCTGGTGTCCTGTTTTGCTTTACCGTATGGTATCAAGCGATTCTCTTGTAAAAGGCATGTTCTGTGTCTCGCACCCCACAGGAAGGGACGTGCCACTCACCTGTCTTCACATGAGAAATGGCCGGGGAGGTTGCATTCATTTGATCCCTGTTCATAAGAACCCAGTTGTTTGCCTACCTCTCTCGGGTCAAGCCTGTTGGTCAGCAGAGAGGGAGACTTGGCCAGGCCAGTGGAGAGAGGATCCTGAGTGGCCTGGCCTTGGACTTCTGGATGGTGTGGTGGGCATCCACCTGCCATCTACCCTGGGCCCTTAGTCTGCAGTTCCTAGACAGGCTGGGGACGTGGACGGGAGCCTCCTGCCAAGCAGCAGGTTTGGCTACAAAGTGCAAGGCTTGCAGGCTGCTGTTGGTCAGATTTCCCTACTTTTTAAACACACTTTGATTCTTGGGCCCAGGCTGACATGTTGGATCAGGAAGCAGCCTTTGTGCAGATTCAGGAGGCTAAGACAATGGTGGAGGAGGACCTCCAGAGAAGGCTGGGAGAGTTTGAAGATGAGAGGGAGCGGCTGCAGAAGATGGCAGACATGGCAGCATCCCTGGAGCAACAACTAGAGCAGGTAAGTACCTGGGTCTGCTTCAGTTTGGACCCCAGACTGCAGGCTAGCCTAACGTCTCAGGACTGCATGGAGCTGTTGATCCTCTCATGTTAGCCATGTCGGTGCAGGCCTGTGGAGGGTTGCATCATCAGATTGCTGTGGCTGCTGCAGACTGCCCTTGTGTTTGCTTCAGCTAGTCTTCATCTACACCAGGAATGCATGCGAAAGATCCTCCAGAGTCCCCCCAGATGAGTTGAATCCTGAACAGGGAAAAGGTATAAATTATTGGAGTCGGGTCAAGAGCAGCCATGTTGACTTTGCTGCCTTTTCCCAGGTTAAGTTGACTTTGCACCAGCGAGACCAGCAGCTGGAAGCTTTGCAGCAGGAGCACCTGGACCTGATGAAGCAGCTCACCTCAACACAGGAGACACTGCAGGCCCGGGAGCAGTCCCTCGACAACCTGCAGACACACTACGATGAGCTGCAGGCTAGGCTTGGGGAGCTACAGGGGGAGGCCGCCTCCAGGGAGGACACAATCCGCTTCCTGCAGAATGAAAAGATCGTCTTGGAGGTGGCTCTGCAAGCAGCCAGGAGTAGCAAGGAGGAATTCGACAGAGGAGCAAAACGCTTAGAAGAAGGTTCTGAGGAAACATCAGGAATTCTAGAGAAGTTAAGAGAAGAATTAGCTATCAAGTCCAGCCAGGTAATGCAGTCTGCTGTGATTTTGTTATGAATCAAACTCCTACGTGCAGTAATTGATGTTGTTTGTTCCTTTCTTTGGATGTGTTATTTTGCAAACATGGGTAACATGTCAAGGAATACTGCTAGGGCTGGGTGTGAGGCCCAAGTGGGGACAGGATGGCAACTGCTAAGCTATGCTCCTGGCCCTGCATTCGCCACTGACTGTGGAGAAGCCCAGACCTGGGAAACTGAGTTTTGTTTGGGCTTTTGAAAGTAATCTACCAAGAAACACCAGTTTCTGTTCGCTGGTGACATGGAGCTCAGATTTCAGAGAAGCTGAAAGAAACTTGGCTTTTCCTTTCCTTTGTCATCCTTTCTGTGTGCCTGCCTGCCTGTAGCACTCTCTGGGCATGCTGGCAGGACTGTTGTGTTGTGAGACAGAGCACAGGTGGGGAGGAACAGCAAGGCCTGGCTACTGACAGGACCTGGAGCGTGTGAGTACCAGTTATACAAGCACGTCACACCTGGGGAAGCCATGTGCTGACAGCATTATATGGTTTTGATGTAGGCAGATGTTTAAAAATATAGACAGAATGAAAAAGCTGAGGATGGTTGTAGAGGAAGTAGAATTTGTATCAGAGAAAAGTTTTGACGTTAAATCCCAGTCTGTAAAGATCAAGGGCAAGAAGAAATCATTAATCTGCTTTTCCTTTGGGAATGTAAAGTAAAAGATGGCTGTCTTTACAGACACTGACCCATATGAAGTTATTTTCTAGGAAAGGTACACTAAAGACAATTTGTTGCTGTTTCAGTGTTGGGTGAGTTTAAAGGAATTGTCAGAGTTCTGTTGATTAAAGGGACATAGGCTGACACTTGGAAAATTCTGAGAGACTTTGGGTGGTACTAGACATTATTTATCATATTGGAATTTTACCTGTGTTGTTATTAATAAAGTTACTGATAGTTACATAGTCTGAGTTAACTCCTGGATTAAGATTGTTACCCCAAAACAGATGGAGTTCGTGGTGGTGGTCCTGTCTCCCTGGGATGCTGCCTTCCCAACTTGGGAGTCTGTTTTCTCAACTTGAGGTCCAGAGTCAGCCTAATCGAGAAATAGACTGACCACCCTGTCACCGGCCTGCCTGGGTATTGGCCACTCCACTTGGCCTTGCTGCCATGTGCATGTGTCACTACGTGTCTCAGCACAGCACTCTCCATGAGGCATTCGAGGTTCATCTGACCATGGCTCCCCCTTGGCCTGGTTCTGAGTCTTTTGCCCCTTATGTGGAGCTGCCGTGGGACCAGAAGCCAGTGATATGAGAGAAACTGGAAGGGATGAATGAGGATGTAGAGCAAACCAGCACTTTGATCCTTCCCAGAGGGGTTCAAGGGAACCACCCTCCGCATGGTCAGGAAAACGGCTCGTTTCCTAACTGTGCCCAAGTGATAACTAGGGCTTGTGTGGAGTATATTCTGGCCCTAGAGGAGGAGGAATTCAGACAGAAAACCTTGGCTCTCAACGAGTTATTCCTTGTTTCCAGAGATAGTAGCTCCAATGTGCATGCTGAAAGCTGGTGTGAATATGATTTCACAACTCGTGGGCCAGTGCTTTCCCACCCAGGGTGTGTTGATAGCCTTCCTGGTGTGTTCATCACCAGGCCTTATAATCTCACCAACGTTCTGTGTTCCTGAGTCCCCAGGGCATCTCCAAGTGCAGCTTCACAGGTGTGGATGAGGCCCGAAGCTGTGCATCTCTCTCAAGTTCTGGGGTGTGAATGGACTGGTCTAGGACAGACTTCTTACATTGAAGGTCAGCACCTGCAGGCCCAGTCCATCACCAGTCTTTGTGAATTAACACCACTGCTGGCTGCTTATGCACTACCTGAGGCAGCATTTGTGCTGCAGGAGCAGAGCTGAGCGGTTGCAACCAAAGTGAGGCCTATGAGCTCAACGTGTTCCTATCAGCTGTTTCCAGGAAAGGCTTGCCATCCCCTGGGCTTAGAGTGTCCCCTTGCCTCACCTCTTCTCTCTCGTCCCTGAAGCCTTCATGCTTCAGTGGTGAGGAGGAAGGCTAGGAACTACCTGCTCTTGTCAGCCCACACACTTCTTCCTGCAATGTCTGTGCAGACATGGCCCCCTTCTGGAGCCCCCAGGGTAATGTCTGTGCTCATCTTCCCTGTAGGTAGAGCACCTGCAGCAAGAGACTGCCACTCTGAAAAAGCAGACACAAAAAATAAAGGAACAGCTTCTTCAACAGAAGGTAACAATGTATTGATTCCTTCATTTGAAATAAGAGCATGAACAAAGTCCTGTGCAATTTAGTTGCTTCAATAGAAGGACATTGATCAAGAAGAAGGTAACATCTAGACTCCTTAATTTTTTAAAGGCCCTCCATTGGTATCGATATCCTCTCCCCCCCTAAGTCAGGGTGCACTTCCTATAAGCAAAATGAAAGTCTGTGACCCAGCCAGGCTCGGTGGCTCAGCCTGTAATCCCGGCACTTTCGGAGACTAAGGTGAGTGGAGTGCCTGAGTCCGCAAGTTCTAGACCAGCTTTGGCATCTTGGTGAGACTTAGTCTCTACATAAATCAAAAATTAGCTGGGCATGGTAGCTCATGCCTGTAGTTCCAGCTACTTGGGAGACTGAGGCAGAAAGATCGCCGGAGCCTGGCAAGTCGACACTGAGGTGGCCGTGAGTGTGCCACTGCACTCCAGCTTGGGCGACAGGGTGAGACTCCAACTCAAAAAAAAAAAGTCTGTGACCCTGCAGATGGGTAGTGGCAGCTGTCATTGCAGCACATGTCACGGCACCCTGTTGTCCTCACTCATGAGAGTTGTGTGTGTTGTGCACTGTTGCTACTACACAGGTTGAGTTTACCCTTTAAAATGTTTTTGAAAAAGTTGCACCATTTTTCAGCATTGAAAAAATTATGGTTCCCCAAATAGATGCAGAACATAAATTTCATTTTAGTGGAGCCAGTCTCTTTTGTTGGAGGAGTGATTCTGATTCCACAGTTTTTTGCAAAGCAGCAATCAAGTGCCTTGTGGGATTTGAGAGAGGAAGATCCCCCAAAGCAGTGTTATAAGTGGACACTAGGAAGTGGATTACCTGTCAGAAGCCACACAGTCAATCCAAGGGAGAAGAAATTGCCAGATTCCTCAGAACAGAGGAGACGTCTAGGACGCTGGCATGAGGCTTCATGCATGACACAGACTCTTGTTCAGGCACAGTGACATTGCCTGGTGGATAAATAATGATGTGTCTAGTTGGTGGTATCTTAGATTAACTATGTTACCTTTAGCTCAGAAAAGTTATGCTCTAAATAAGCAGTCAGCATTTTTGTTGAAGTCAGCTTGGCCCCTGGGAAGGCCCCACCTGAGTGCCAACCGTAGCTTCCATCTTGTTGACAGGTGATGGTAGAAGCCTACAGGCGGGATGCTACCTCCAAAGACCAGCTCATCAGTGAGCTGAAAGCCACGAAGAAGAGACTGGACTCGGAGATGAAGGAGCTGAGGCAAGAGGTGATCAAGCTACAAGGGGAGAAGAGGGCCACAGAGGCAGAGCACTCACGCTTGCAGAGGGAGGCGTCCCAGGTGCATCAGCAGATGGCAGATCTTGAAGCGCACCTCCATTCAGTGCAGAAGGAGCGAGACGAGATGGAGACACACTTGCAGGTCTGTGAGTTTGTGGGCTGACTTCCTTTGAATTGTGGCAATTCAGCCAAATGGGCTTGGGGCTTCCTGTGTGCAGAGTGAGTAGGGGGTCATGATGGGGAAAGATTTCTAGAAGAACAGCCTAGAACAAGACCCCTTGGAGCTTATGTCCTGGTGCGGGGAGACAGATCAGTCCAGGTAGATTTGAGAAAGGAAGTGAAATGTGAAGGGAGTAAACCAGGAGATGCTGCAAGGACTTGAGAGTGGCAGGAAGAGTTGGCTGCCCTGTAGAAAGTAGGGGTGCATCTTTTGCAGAGACCCCATGTCAGGGTAGGGCGCAGGAGCCCAAGGAACTCATGGAGTCCCCTGTGGCTGGAGCACAGAGCTAGGATGGGCCAGGGCCCTCACACTCCCTATGAGGCCACTCTGGTGTGAGCCTAGGCTTCTGTGTGCCCATGGGAGCTGGACAGCAGGCAGGCAAGCAAGGAGCCTGGAGGGTGGGGGTCAGGTTCATTCCAGACATCCAGGTGGGAGAGGGTTCTGGGGGGCTCTGGGGAGGAGTCCTGGGGTCTATGGAAAAGGGGTCCTGGGCATTTCTCAGGAGGAGTCCTGGAGTCTCTGGGGTAGGGTCCTGGGGATCTTTGGATACAGCATCTGGAAACACTGTTGCCTTCAATAAGGTGTCAGTTATGAGGAGGCAGACATCTCTGTCTGGAGTTTTCTTAAGGCCCATGACAGCATTGTTGACCCAAGGACAACTGGCACAGGCCACACTGCTCTCACATTGTCCTTCCCTCCTTCTTTGAAGTCTTTGCAGTTTGATCAGAAGCAGATGGTTGCCCTCACAGAGGCCAATAAGGCACTGAAGAAACAGATCGAAGAGTTGCAGCAGGAAGCCAGGAAGTAAGTCAGCACATGCATGCTTGTCCAGGGAGGACAGAGTCCTTGCCCACAAGCACACAGGCTTGCTGCTGTCTGGTCCTGGACACTCATTCTGAGGAGTAACCTGGGGCCACATACAGGTAGCCTGGGATGCTGAAGTTTAAATTCCATTATGATTTGGCAAGTGCATGTTGTGCAGAGTAATCACAGCATTTATAAGCTGACTTGCTCAGGTGTTCTGTAACCAGAGCTCCCCTTTTGGTTTTATTTTTAGTATTATTTATTTTTGAATTGGAGTCTCACTCCATAGTGATCCTTCTGCCTCAGCCTTCCAAGTAGCTGTAACTATATGCATGCGCCACCATGCCCGCTTATTTTTTGATTTGGTGTAGAGACAATGTCTGGCCAAGTTGCCCAGGCTGGCCTCAAACCCCTGGGCTTAGGCAGTTCTTTCGCCTCTACTTCCCAACGTGCTGAGATTACAGACGTGAAGCACCATGCCCAGCTTTTTCCTTTTGACTTTTTGTGCCACACACTTGTGGCAGCATCCTCCCTGCTCCCTCCCCAGGGACAACACTTTGATATTCATCTTCACATGCTTTTATGCTCACCTAAACATGATTGCACAGACCTCACCTGCACACACACACAGACAGTCTTTTGGTTCCTTCTATCCAAAGGGCATATCCTATGCTGCTTTGCCTTGATGGGCTGGTGACCTACTCATACATCTGATTGTTTAATTTCTTGCTGGTATTCAAGAGCATTGGCCACATCTCTGTTGGATAGAAATGGACTCTACCTTCACAAGGTCATTTTAAAACCACTCCAGGAGTAGCGCAGGTCTGACGCTGGTGGTAAAAATGCCCCAAATTTACTAAGTGCTTCCACCTGCCTGGCTTTGCTGGGATACCTGACACAACCTGTTGCTTCACCTCACACAGCCCCCACAGGACAGGCTCACACTTACCCAGGCTTCCCAGGGGTCATCAGATTCTGGTGGGGGCAATGGAGTGGGGCTGAGCTGAGGCAGCCTTCCCAGGTTCTGAGCCACCACACCAGTGGAAGGTGAGCTTCTGAAAGCCCCTCCTATTACTGGAGGCTGAGCACAGGACTCTGGACAGTCAGATCAGGGTGATTAGCGTCCTTCTCTGTGTCTCCTCGTGATGCTGCAGGACCATCACAGAACAGAAGCAGAAGATGAAGCGGCTGGGCTCGGACCTGAACAGTGCCCAGAAGGAAATGAAGACCAAGCACAAGGCCTATGAGAACGCTGTGGGCATCCTTAGCCGACGCCTGCAGGAGGCCCTTGCGGCCAAGGAGGCGGCAGATGTGGAGCTGAGCCAGCTCAGAGCCCAGAGTGGCAGCAGTGGCAGCGACCCCGCGCTACATGTAGGTAAACGCCACGTCATCCCAGCCAGAGTCGTGATGTCTCTCAGGGTCGGGAAAGGAGGTTTTATTCGTGTTGCCTCCTTGGAATCCCTGTAAAAGGGTTGAGAAAAACTTGGCAGAGCTCAGGGGTTTGGGTAGCATTTCTTAAAAATGCTGCTTGGTGCCAATGTGTGCAGGGACCCTCTGTCTGCATTATACATGTCCCCTTCACACACCTTGTGGGGTCTGTGGCATTCACTTCATTTTCCTCGAGGAACCTCCTTGAGTCGGACAAACTCAGTTACCAAGGGGCTGAGGCAAGACCTTTGCCTGATCCATCTGCACTCTAGCTTCTTCCATGTCTTCTCACGTCAGAGGCTCTGTGTGCATGGAGGAGCAGTGGCCGCTCACCAAGAGACTGGAGTGAGGGCATGGGCTTCAAGGTCAGGGTCTGGCAGGACTCTGGGAGTGTTTGACGGAGGGACCACTTGCAATGGCCTGGAGCCGGCAGGGGCACCCTCAGTGGAGGGGTTCGCTGTACAGGGCCTGTATGCAGCCTTCATGTTCTCTCACTCTCACTAGTAGCTGTGTGATTCCACCTGAGTCCGTTCATTTGCATTTTATTTTTTTCTTTTTGTAGAGATAAGATCTTGTTGTGTTGCCCAGACTGATCTCCAACCCCTGGGCTCAAGCAGTCTTCTCGTCTCAGCCTCCCAAAGTGCTGGGATTGTAGGCATGAGCCACTGTGCCTGGCCTGCATTTTATTTTATATTCTCCAATTTGCATTATTTCACTGATGCCTTAGTGTTTCTTATTCATGCCGTTTGTTTCCGTCTTCTGTCCAGTGAAGAATTTACGGGCAAGAAGAGACTATATTATAACATAGGACTTTCTTGTCAAATTCAATAAATACTGTCCCACCTGGTTACTCTACACAACACTGGGGAGATTTATTCAGTGGCCATTTTCCTTCCTACTTTGAAGTATGTCCCAGTTGCGTTTTTACCTGTTGGCTCACTTGGTGAAGGTAGCCAGAACAAAGGCTCTATGGGACCTGCTTCCTGACGGTGCGTCTGCCGCAGCTCAGTGCACACATGGACCTGGAGCCCAGAACCTGGAGCCTGGGCTTAACCACTTGTGAGAGACCTGTGGTGACCAACCACACGTCCTGTCTTGTCTGTAGGAGAGGATCCAGGCCCTGGAGGGGGAGCTGCAGACTGTCGGCCACAGCAAGGTACTACTGGAGAAGGAACTGCAGGAGGTCATCGCGTTGACCAGCCAGGAGCTAGAGGAGTCCCGGGAGAAGGTGCTGGAGCTGGAGGATGAGGTGAGGCCACAAGTGAGGGCCTTAAGCACACATGCCACACCTTGGTCTGCATTGCCATGGGCATTGGCTTCACCTTCCGGCCCTTGACCTCGTGTCTGTGTGGAGCAGGCTCTGATTCTAGCCTTTAGCGAGGACTGTGCCCGCACAGCCTGTGCAGTGGGGTGGTTGCTGGAGAGCTCATGTGGGATCCTCTCGCAGTTAGGGTGCTTTGGTTGCAAATAGAAAGTCCTTTGAAGGATTCCTGTGCACTCCCAGGTTCAGAGAGAGCTCTGGCTCCAAGTGGTGCTGGCAACAACTTTGTGTGGCTACCGAGGCTCTTGCCAACCAGCGGCCCCCTGTCTCCCTGCCTGGCTCCTCTATCAGGGTCACTGTATGCCTCATTTGTCTGTCTCTGTCCCATTCTGAGACACTTCTGGCTCGTGCCCACCCCTGGAGTGGCTTGGCCAGGGCTGGGGCTCAGTCCTTGTGTAAACTTCTTCAGAAGCACATGGTCCCAGGGGAGGGCTGGGCTGCTTGCCATGGGGAGGAAAGAGGATTGAGGAAGCAGCTGACCAAGGTCTTTCAGATCATGAGCAAGGGCTGTTTGTGGGCTGTTCATTGTTGTGTTTCGTTTTAGCTGTTTCTTGTTGAAAACTGCCTGCTTGTTTCTGGGCTGTGTGATAACATCATGAACCAGAGCATGTAATTTCACAGTTACTTGGCTGTGTTTCAGCTTCAAGAATCCAGAGGCTTCAGGAGAAAGATAAAACGCCTTGAAGATTCAAACAAGAAGTTGTCTCTCGAATTAGAACATGAGAAAGGGAAGCTTACGGGCCTTGGACAGTCCAATGCAGCTCTGCGGGAGCATAACAGCATCTTAGAAACAGCTTTGGCCAAGAGAGAGGCAGACCTGGTCCAGCTGAATCTTCAGGTATTCAAACATGTTTCCTGAAGCAGAAGGGGCATTGCTGCAGGCCGTGCAATGCTAGAAATGGCTTACATAGGTCCAGTCATCTGTGTTGATCATAACCACCTCTCATTGGGAGGAAGATACGACCTCCCATTGTAAAGATGAGGAAACAGGCTCAGAAAATCCTGGGTGTCCCAGTTATGAGGGGCAGGACCAGGCCCTCCGAGTGTAAGACCAGAACATGTGCCTGTGTCTCCAGCCATGGATGTGCACAGTTCTCCATTCTTTTTGGATGGGTGCACTCCAGGTGCAGATGGAGTGACTTCCAGCCAGTTCTAGGTGTTAATGTCATCTGTAGGGGGCACTTAGAAGGCCTCACATGATTCAGAACTGGGATCAGAAGCCCAGCCAGGATCTCCACAGCCTCCTTATGGATTGGTGAGTCAGCAGTGAGTCCAGAGGAGTCTTCAAAATAGCAGGCCTCCTGAGTAGCTGGGACCACAGGCCCAGCCATATTTTTTAATATGATGCCATGGTTGTACTCCTGCAGTGTCAGATTTCTGTATTTGTGATGGTATTCTTCAGAGGTAGACTATCCTCTGCTTTCCTAAAGTGTCCTTCTTTGTGGTATGTCGTTATGTATGTGCCTCACATCGCCATGTTCTCCATGTGGTGCTGGCCACTGTGGCCCCATGCTTTTTCCCAGGCTCAGTCAGTATTTGGAATTTGACGTCCCTCCTTATTTATCCTCCTGCAATACAATCTAGGTGCAGGCGGTTTTGCAGCGCAAAGAAGAGGAGGATCGCCAGATGAAGCAACTTGTCCAGGCCCTGCAAGCCTCATTGGAAACAGAAAAGGAGAAAGTGAACAGCCTGAAGGAGCAGGTATGTGTGCCCTTTTGACTGTTGTAGGTTGCAGCCTCACAGAGCCTTCTGGAAGGTGTTTCAGTGCCTAAAGATACATACCAGTGCCCTTCACATATGGTCCCCCTCCAGGATTTATAGAGAACGGAAGTGACATTGCAGTTGTGTTGGTAGTGAGCAGCCACAGAGAGCCTGGTGTTGCCCAGTAGAAGATGGTGTTAGATAGATCACATGATGATGCAGCCATGAGGGCCCATGCAGATGAGCTCCATGGATATGTTTGTTTGTATTTTGCTAGGAAAAGATGTAAAGTTGCATTGAAAAAAGCAACTTTTAGAACAGTGCATGCTCCCATTTGTGACAAGCAGACCAGAAAGGCAGTTGTGTGAACCGTTTTCTTTATAGGGAGCTGCCTATACACCCAAAGCCTGGCTCCTTTGGGTGAGTTGTCTCAGCAGAGACCTATCCTGATCACCATGTTTCTTCAACACAGTGCCCTGATGCCAAGCTCTGCCCCCTTTTCCCCATTAGGATGCGGCCCCTAGGCCAAGTGCGGTGACTGAAGCCTGTAATCCCAACACTTTGGGAGGCTGAGGTGAGAGGATTGCCTGAGCCCAGGGGTTCAAGCAACTTGGCAAGACCTCGTCTCTACGATAAATTAAAAAAATTAGCCGAGCTCAGTGGCTCAGCCTGTAATCCCGCGCCTTTGGGAGGCTGAGGTGAGTGGATTGCCTGAGCCGGCGGGTTCCAGACCCGCCTGGGCAACTTGGCGAGACCTCATCTCTACAATAAATCCAAAATTAGCCAGGCGTGGTAGTGCCCGCCTGTAGTTCCAGCTACTTGGAAGGCTGAGGCGGAAGGATCGCTGGAGCCCAGCAGGTCGAGGCTGTGGTGGCTGGAGCGGCCACTGCACTCCAGTCAGGGTGACAGAGTGAGACTCCGATTCAAAACCAAACAAAACAAAGCAAAAAAAAAATGCAGACCCTGGTTACATCTCCAGTTCCTGGCCAGAGCAGATCTTAGAACACATGTATGTGGGTGTGGTGTGGTGTGATGTGTGCATATAGGGTGTGATGGGGGGGTATTGTGTGTGTATATGAGTGTGTGGGGTGTGATATATATGTGCATGAATGCAAATTTTGATGCTTGTATAGACATAGAAAATTTCTAGGAGGAACACAAGAGATAACTGATTCTTTCTAGAGAAAGGTAGGAAAGAACACATCACTTTTCCTTTAAACTGAATTACTTGACTGGGCAAGGTGGCTCAAGCCTGTAATCCCAGCACTTTGGGAGGCTAAGGCGAGAGGTTTGCCTGAGCCCAGGGGTTCGAGACCAGCCTGGGCTACTTGGAGAGATCTCGTCTCTACAATAAATAAAAAATTAGCTGGGCATGGTGGTGCATGCCTGTAGTTCCAGCTACTTGAAAGACTAAGGCAGAAGGATCGCCTAAGCCCAGCAGGTCAAGGCTGCGGTGGCCATGAGTATGCCACTGCACTCCTGCCTGGGCGACAGAGTGAGCCTCCAACTTAAGAAAAAAATTGAAAAATAAAGATAAACTGAATTACTTTATAAGTCATAACTACTCTCATAATTCACAATTTTCAGCCTCAGGATGAAGCTTCTTTTTAGTTTTTTTTTGTTGTTTTTGTTTTTTGTTTTTTGAGTCGGAGTCTCACTCTGTCGCCCAGACTGGAGTGCAGTAGCCGCTTCCGGCC